TCAATTGAGCTGACTTGGGGGCGCTGAACATTCTGGCTGTCCCTCTTCCTCTCCAGCATCATCCTTCTTGCCAGCAACCACTTGAGTCTCTCTCACTGCTGTCCACACTGATGAATGAACACAGCGCATCCGGATCTAATCCTCCTTGTCCACGCTGCGTTTCCTCCTGGCAACCATCTCCCTCACTCCTCTGCGATGCAGTGGCATCCCAACGCACACATACACACAAGCACCAAATGGCCACCACTCCGGAGTGCCAATATCTGCCCTTTGCAACTTGGAAACCTGGCGCCAGGTCCACTTGCCTTTCAGTCCAGAGTACTCATTATCCAGAGCAAAATGGCCAACCAATAGTGCATAAAAACAGAGTTTCTGTCACCAATTTTCCCATCCACACCACCACACCAAACACTGGCGGCCATCTTAAATACTCCAAGGCCCGCCCCTTCCCCTGTCCATCACCATTAGAGATGTTCCGATACCATTTTTCCCCTCCTGATACCGATTCCGATACTTGGGCTCAGGGTATCGGCCGATACCGAGTACTGATCTGATACCTGGGTGTGTATCTCTATATACAGCTGTAGATACTACTAACCCTGTATTAATTGACAGAATTATTTTATGCTGTGCTTTAGATTTATCCCTTAATAAAACATGAACAAGTACATATAGTGAACTAGAGTGTTTTTATTATCTGACATACATTTAACAGTATTACTTATTTTTGAAAAAAAAAAAACTGAACTTCAACATCTGAAAAAGAACTTCAAATGCAGCCACAATTCTAACACTGTAAACTGAAAAAGGTATTTTAGTATTTTTACAATACAGTGTTCACGCACTGTCTCATATAGCTTAGGGAGCGCTGTTTCGGAGATATATTTGCGACCAGGCAAACTGTACCGGGGCTCCAAATGTTCAATTAAGCGGCGAAAGCCCACATTTTCGACCACTGACAGTGGCTGGTCATCCAGTACAATAAACTCGATAATCCTGTCGGTTATCTTTATTGCTCGTTGGCTGTCTTGTGAAAACTTTTCTCTTCGTTTGAATGAAGCTTCCAATGTTTGTTGCGTCTGGCATGGCTCGTCCTTCTCTGTCCTAGCTTTTGTGTAACCATCGTGTTCTACGGGGTGACGCGTCTTCAAATGCTTTATTAAGTTTGTTGTGTTAAAGTTGTTAATACTTGTGCCACCCCTTGAAATTGCAGCTTGACATATAATACATGTCGCTGTTTTACTGGCTGGTTGATCAAGCCTGAAATACTGCCAAACAGC